ATATAATATATATATTTATATTTATATTGTTAAAAACCAAACATTCTTCTTACATGCATAAAACTGTAACGAGAACTTGCATTTTAATATTTTGCAACGGGCAATTCAAACAGTTAGTTTTAACCATAATTTCACATTTTATAGCGCTACATCGAAATTCCAACGAGTCGACAATGCATGGAAAATAAAGTTTCGTTCAAATATGAAAGTTGAAGAATTACATTTTCGCCACGAATTTCCCAGACCGCCGTGCTACGAGCCGAAGTTTGTCCAACGAGCGGGCCGCAAAAATGTGCAGAGATCGCAAAAATGTAACGCACAGGATCGCGGAATGTACCGGGCGTAGTCAATTAATCGCACAGAAACGCGCGAAATTCGAACGAGGAAGAGAGACGAAAACAGAGCCGAAGGTTGATCGCGCGCACAATGCATATTTCCCGTTGTGGACTTTCAATTTGATTGGCTGCCGGCCACGTTTAATCATCGGTAAACATTTCCAGACCGTTCGCGTCCGTGAAAGAAAATTGCGCTTCGGTACGATCGTCGGGAACATTTCCGAGCGACTGTAAATACGATTTTTAATTGGTAATTTCGGGTTTCGAGTGGCAATCGATTCTTCGCGAGCGAACGACGATAATAAGAATCGGCAAACACTTACACGAACACGTGAAATACGATCGATAATTTCATTTCCGTTATCGTCTAGCAACTCTCCGCCTCTTCGCATCGCGGTGTCGCGTTTACAGTGTTTCGAATTTCAGGGGGAGCATAGAATCGAAATGCTGCTGTCGTAATCCGTGTAAAGAAGTTAATCCTAGCGTGGAAGAATAATTTATTTTTCTTCAGACGATACGATAGAACCCAACGTCCCTAAACTTGACTGATAGAAATATTTGAAACTACGTGTATCGTAATTATTTTATTTTGCATCGTATTTATAGCAAATGATCATATTTATAATAATATATTTAATATTTATAATAATTATAATAATCATTTCCGTTATCGTCTAGCACTCTCCGCCTCTTCGGAATGCAAATGATCATATTTATAATAATATATTTAATATTTATAATAATTATAATAATCATATCTATAGCAAATAAAAATTTGTTGCAACAGTTATAAGTAGACTGCAGATTTTTATAGAAAATAAAAATTTTCTGCAGCAATTGCAATAAATGGAAAATAAATAGCAGGTTCATTCTTTCTTTAATTATTTTAATAGGATAAAGATAACATACATTGACATTTCTAAATTCTTTAAAACACTCTGTTGTATCAAATTGCAATCATTCAATTTTTTTATAAATGCGTAGAATCCACACAGCCTAGTTATAAGAAACGGGAGCTATAGAAAAATGTATTTCATCCCTTAAATGTTTTAATAAATTCCAAATGATATTATAACCATTTTAAATTTCTCTATCTTCTGCTTCATCCATTCCGACTCTAACATGATTTATTTCGGACCATTGTTTTCCTTATCTTGGCGGAAAGGCCACAATGTGTGATTAATCCAACTACTAGAGATTCCCTTATCCGAACATTTATTTTTACAATAATCTGGTATCGCAACCTTCTATTATTTAGTTATCGTGTTTAGATACATTATCAGCTAGTAGAGAACTTGAATGAAATTTTTACACAATAGAATGTTCTGGTATTAGAGGGTATTGCAAAATAATAAATCTTCAGATAAGAGGGTCTCTATTGTATTCGGAACGATCTATATCACGTTTACAATAGTATAGACAACAAAACTTGAAGATTGAACACGTGTCCTAGCAGTGTCATACGATTGTGACGACTACAGTTTTCTATTTCACGTGGAAAACATCAGTTGCAATACCTAAAATTGCAACAACATGATGTTTACAGAACGTACCGATTTCCTTTAACGATATTTCTGTCACATTTTCAAATTACTCAATTATTCAATTGTTGTCCCTGTGTGCATCATCAAAATATGGATCACAAAATTAATAGAACGATTAATCGTGCTAATCCCGTGGACCAAGGGTGTCAAACTCGCGGCCCGAGATGAACATTTTGACGGCCCAGTCAATATATCCGACGCAAAGTAAAAATAAAATAGAAATGTGAATTCGAAATTTTGAAAAAGTAGTCTCGGCCAATAAAATTTCTCTCGAAATAGGAAAGATAGTATCAGAGAAGAGATGTCAAGTATCAGGACATAAACAATAATTTAACTTTATATATGTTTATTACAATGTACTAGTCAAAATAAAAATATTTGTTTCTATGAACATTGATTTCTTTTTTTGCGGCCCACCTAAAGTTAAGCATTGTTTATTTGGCCCAAGTTAGCTTTTGAGTTTGACACCCCTGCGCGGTAGATGCAAAAACAGATATAATTGTACGATCTCTAGGAAGCCTAAAACTATCGTTGCAGTATATTGTACAATTACAATAATCATTTTACTAACTTATCAAGTCATTTCAATGAAAAATTCGTGATTTCGTTAGTAACATTTGACACGTATTTTTTATATCTGCAATGATCCATATTCGGGGGATGAAACAAAAACAGCTTCTGCCCTCAAAATCCGGGATAAAACCATATTTTTTTAAATATCTTGAGAACCAGGGGGTATAGGACAATGAATTTTTATTTAAAATGCGTTTGAAATCTTCTTTGGCTATTTTAAAAACAACTCTCTCAAAACTACCACGGTACTTCTTATATCTCAAAAAGTTGTTACAAATTTATGTCATCGATTACGGAACACATCCGAACAGTTCTCTCTGTCAAGAGATAATACCGTTAATGTAAATAATATTGTTAAACGGTGTAACCGAAAAAAATTTCAAAAACACGAACGAAAAATTGAAAGGAAAAAGTTTATTTGTGAAATATTGTTTAAACGGATATCTTTTTCGAGATACGTATTACTCAAGCGATTAAATTTGCCGTTCGAAAACACACATTTTAAAATACAATTCATTATTCCACATCTTCTTCTAGTCTTCGAGATATGTAAAAAGATATATATATATATATATATATATATATATATATATATATATATCGTCTTCGATTTTG